TTATAAAAAAGTTTTTTTTTTATTTTAACTATCATCTAATAAACTGTAATTATTGTTATACATAAATTAGGTAGGCATAATTTTACCTCAACAATATGCAACTTCAAATGGAATCTAACAATTCTTACTGTCACGTATCAAAATCAAATTTAACATACACAACTTTTATTATAACTGACAGTATAAAGACCCAAATATATTTTAATTAGTTCAGACCTTTACATGCTTACATATCACTTTGGGTTTAATTTGTTATTCAGTAATATACAATAAGATACCAAAAAATATTATTACTATCAAATAAATACATAAAACACTAATCTACTTTAAGATCCATAGAAAATAACTATCATAGTTAGGTATACGTAGGCAAAGGGATACGACAACATCCTTAGTTAATTAGGACAAAATTTAATTTGAGCTTTTTTCATTTTTGATTAATATTTTTTTTTTTCTTGATTTGTGTGCAGGGTGTCCCAAATTTGGGCCTTATTAATGAAGGGTTTTCTTCCATATAATCAATATCCAAATTTGGTCTTGGTTGAAAACAATTTATCCATCTCATTGCTATTTTTGAACCATTCACAAAAAATATCTCCTCTGTCAAGATACGTCAGCATCAGATTTTTTCCAGGCCTTTTTGTTGTTGATCTTTTAATCGCCTTCAAGAATCTTTTTTGGATTTTTTATATTCTTCCCAAAGTTTTTCGCTTAATAATGGTAGACTTTTGTGCGCTTGTCTTGTATATGATCTTCTCTTCCTTAAACACTGACTTCTAAGATTCGAAATCTCCTCATTCCACCAAAATACCGGTTGCCCTCTTTTGCCCTCTTTCTTCTTTGGCATTGTTCTATCGATCTTACAGAGATTCTGGTAAGAACGGGTCAGTTAGTTTTCATTGAAACATTTGAACGCTGGGTACTTTAGACTCCTGGGTCTTTTTTCCCTAAATCATCCTAAGCTCTTTGTGTTCTTTTAACTATTTTATTATCCACTAATTTTATATGTATACATTTTGGAACGTAATCCAATAAATTCTGACATTATTTTTCCGTTGTTTTCCGTCCTTCCAGTCAAACCAATTTACTTTATTTATTTTTTTTTTTTTTTTTTTTAATATTATTTTCATCATAAAATCAGAAGTATTCAATTTATGTATATCTTCTTTTATATGAATATAGATATTATCAACAAAAAAAAGTGAATAATCAAAGAATCCGTATCAGTTTCATCAACAATTTTTCCCCTAATTCATCTTAGCTTTCTTTTAATTAGTTAATATCAACACGCCAAGCTCCCTGTTTAAGTTTTTTAATACTTTTTGCTTGTACATTGTTAACACATTCAAACGTAATATACTTATGATCGCTGAGGGACTCTCTATCCATAACTGTCCACTTTTGTATATTAACATTTTCACTGACTATAGTCAGGTCCAGAATTGATGTGTAGTTATTACATTGGAAAGTTGGTGTAATGCCCTCATTTGCAATTACGAGATTGTTAGCTGCCATCCAGTCTACTATTGTATGTCCGCGTATATCTGTATAATTCATCCCCCACTGAGGGGACTTTGTCCTGTTCTAGATTAGATTTCTAGAGGTGGATCTCGGCCTGACCCACTGCGACCTTCTCAGATCTATTTTGTGGGTCTTGTTCTTGTTTAATTAGTTTTATGGTATAGTTTATGTGGGTATTAAATATTCGGTTTTCAATCCACTTCCTAACGTGTATTGAATATCGACGATGTTAGAAACATCAATCAAATGTGCCATTTCTTTTATACACATTTTCTTCACTAAGTATCGGAGGGGACGCCTATACATTATTAACTAATAAAAAAAAAAAAAAAAAAAATTTATAATTAATTTTAAATATGTGGAATGAATATTTTATTTTGTAGAAAGACTTTTTGAAAAAAAAAAAAAAAAAAAAAAAAAATATGACATTTAAACAGTCCTACCACTACAGTTTTTCCAGAAACACCCCAAAAATCCGCCATTTTGGCGCCAATAACATTGAACAAACCAATTGCGGTACTTTATATATCTAGGGACTTTAGATGAAATGTCTACGCAGCGCCATCTATCCCTCTACTGGCAGAAACTCCGCCGTGTTTCCAAAATTCAAATGGCAGTTTCATCCGCCTGGAGACCGTGAAGGACAGCACCCATTCGTCGATAGGTTTCTCAGTTTTACTCCATAATCAGGGGAGTTTGGTAGTCCACCTCGGCCTGGCAAGCTCCAAACAGAAAACGCACGTCAAAGTACATTGCAGTACTTGTCTATAGCCACAACTAAACCATAACGCCATCTAGCGGCCTGTTTGGAGCTTGACAGGTCGAGGTAGACTACCAAAGTCGTCCTGATGATGGAGTATAACTCCGAAACCAGTCGACAAATGGGTGATCTCCTTAGCTTGACAAGCGTTAAACAGAAAATTCGTACATAAAGCAGGTGTACGGCTGTAAAATGCTATTCACACAAAATATATTAAACCTAATACATCCAAACTTTAAGCTGTCCGTTTTTTATGCCGGTGAGTGTATTTTACTTGGAAATTTAAAAAAAAAACGATTTTTTGCTCAAATTTTGAGAACCACAGAATCTTTTTCGAATTTTAAAAAAATTCAATTAAAAAAAATTCAAAATTTTCAATTTTTTTTTCGCGAAAAAAAACTCAGACATGTTTCTGGGGTCGAAATATACTGTCCCTAAAAATATTCGCATTTATTTAAAACTCGCCTTGTACAGGGTGGCCCATCGAAAATGTTCCGCAAGGCATAACGGCCAGGGTAATTTTTTTTTTTCAGAAAATCCAAAAACTCAATTTTGTTTGTGAGGGGGACAACTTTTGCCCCAAAAATGATTGTAAAACCTTCAACCCTCTAAGCGGAGGTGTCATCCCCCAACTTTTTTTAAATGGGAAGGGGGGTCAAGTGGCACCGCAATGAAAAGAGCTTTCTAATCTCTATATTTCCCCGCTTCGTTTTTTGAAAATCGGTCGGGTCATCATTGAGAAATATTGAAGGATTGAAAATTTGAAAAGTTTATTTAAGCATTTATCAAAGTAAATGATAATTAAGGATAAATTCGACCAATTTGCTGTTTTTTCTTATTATTTCTAGATGTTTACGCATTTTTTCACTTGCCACAACGTTGAACGATCAGGTGCGGTAGTTGCTAGATAGCTGTTCTGTGACTTGTACGTTGAAGTTCTTCTCAATATCGTTACATTTATCAGACTAAATGATAAGGATAAATTCCTTCGACCAATTTGCTGTTTTTTCTTATTATTTCTAGATGTTTACGTATTTTTTCACTTGCCACAAGGTTGAACGATCAGGTGCGGTAGTTGCTAGATAACTGTATACGGGTTGTGCATTGAAGTTCTTCTCAATAATCGTTAAACTTTTTATTTGTGTCATGACAGAAAGTGTGGATATAATCGAACTTTTTTAAGAAATAATGAATGTGGCAATAGGTTTGCGCAGATATTCAATAAACGCTATCCTAACAAACACCTTTATGGCAAAATTGTTCGTGATTTAGGGAGCAAAAATTTCAACGAAACCCTGATTCCGTTATGAATAAAAAGAGGCAGAGGGAAAATCCTGTAGTAAATGAAGCTATGGAGGTATTCGTATTGGGCCAAGTTGCCAATGACAGTATTCTGAGTACAATGATATAATTTAGCAATGAGACCCGAGACTGGCGTGAATCCTACAAGTGTCCAAACGATATAAAAAAAACAAGTTCCACCCGTACAAAATTCAGTTGGTACAAGAACTCAACGAAGACGATTTTGATCGTCGCGGGCTGGTATTTTTGGAAATTCTATTGTAGGTCAGTTTAACGATATTGAGACCGCACCTGATCAACCTTGTGGCAAGTGAAAAAATGCGTATGCGTAAATTGGTCGAAGGAATTTATCCTTATCATTTACTCTGATAAATGTTTAAATAAACTTTTCAAATTTCCATCCTTCGTATTTTCTCAATGACTCGACCGATTTCCAAAAAACGAAGCGGGGAAATATAGAGAATAGAAAGCTCTTTTATTGCTGTTTACCTAAAGAAGTTGTTAATTGTCAAAAACATTAATATTTTTAAAAAAAAAAGACTTAAAAAGAATGATACTTGGTAAAACAATAACCGAAATGCATACATTTATACTAGCCAAAATTGAAATATTAAAAACCATTCACAATAAATATAATATTTGAAAAAAAAAATTATGGTAATCTTATATGGGCCCTTAGATCTTGCAATCCTACCCTAATGTCAATATCTGACCGCTGTGTAATAACTTGTTTTTAGCGTGCTTAAGTTGGTGGCAATGAAAATATATTAATTTTGATATTTTTTTTTTTTTTTTTTTTTTTTTTTTTTATAAAATATTGTAAGTTAGTCTAGAAATAAAACTCCTCAGACAAGGTTCTACCTTAAGAGGATATTATGTTTATTCACTATTTTGTATTCGTAAGTTATGTATAAGTCTTGTATATACTTTGTAATTGGATCAGTTTGAATAAACATTATTTATTATTATTATATTATTATTGCGGCGCCACTTGACCCCCCTTCCCTTTTGAAAAAAGTTGGGGGATGGCACCCCCGCTTAGAGGGTTGAAAATTTTGCAATCATTTTTGGGGCAAAAGTTGTCCCCCTCACAAACAAAATTGCCGTGTTTTTGGATTTTTTGAAAAAAAATATCCTGGCCGTTATGTCTTGCGGAACGTTTTCATAGTATTGAAGCCGAAGGGCGCCTTTATCAAGAGCCTTTCTTTGATGACGTCAGAGGTTTCTGGCCGTGTTTTTTTTCTCGACGGTTGCGCTTGTAGTCGTCTCTAGTAGTATTTTGTTTTCTTATAATGTTAAAAATTAAACAATTAACATAGCCTCTTTCACTTATTTAGAACAAAATTTAATTCAATAAATAATTAAGGTAAACTTTCAGTTGGCATATACATTTTTCTCAATATGCAAGGTCAACCAGTTTAAAATATATGGTGCTTTTAATTGCTTATTCCATAGCTTTAATTTACTTATATATAAAGGTGAGTTACGATATTTTAACCATAAATTCTTATGTAATATATGTTTTTTTACTATTTAAGAATCAGCTTGTTGGTAGTGTTGTAGCAATGCATTTCCTAATGGTGCTTTTAATTACTATAATTGTACCAACATCTGGACAAAGATCCGAAAATCAGGTATTTGAAAAAGAAACATCTAATCTAACATTAAAACATCTTTCTATATTACTTTTTTGTGTTTCTAGTGGCACCTGTATTCTGAGAAACTTTACTCCATGCCGTGGTATACATGGAATACCAAAAATTGCAACACATTGTTATTAATGATGGCAAAATCTAAAAACGATATAATTTGGAGCATTATTAATAAAACCGCCATTAATTATGACTTATTAGTCGGGGTAAAAAAATATCACTTATATAATGTTTATTTATAATATTACTTTATTTCAGATCTGGAAAATATTTTACTTTTTCATCAATGCCTTATTGAAGTCCAAAAAATTTTTCTAAAATACATTTATTACATATTTATAATAATTAGTATGGTAATAGCAAAACAATGTCCGATGCACGTGATCAACTTTGAGTGACAAGCAATGGCGACAGCGCTGTCAGATTGTGATGGATTTATGGGACGAATCTTAATGTAAAATTGGAAAACAATATATTTATTATATAATTTTTTAAGTATTTTTACGTTTTATTAGTAAATAAAAAAAGGAAAATAAAAATAAATTAAAAACGCAATAACTAAGAATTTGCTAAAATTACTAAAATAAAAAATTAAAAGCGACGAAAAAAAAATGGGTAAAGATTTTGGTATTTTATCTATAAAACACAATCCAGAAGGTTTCACATTAATACATTCAAAGTAATTGAACTCCGAGGAAAAAGTCTCCGGGCACTACTATACCGGGTGCGTCTCAAAAGTGGCTCACCCCTATAACATTTTTATTTTTTTCAGATAAAACAACAAGGTTTGGTATGTTAGTATATGACATAAATTAGGATTGATTGACGTATTCAATTCTTTTTGGCCACTTCCGGTTTCACCGGAAATGACTACAACTTTTTGATTTTTAAATGGCACCGTCGGTATTTGTTTACTTTATTTGATAGAAAATGACACTCTGAATAGATTGACATATCATATGTCAACTTTTCATATTTTCGCTTAAAACAAAATTGTATTTTAAATTTCAGTCTAGAGTGCAATGGTTGTATTAAAAATACTAATTTTAATTGAAGGAGCCTTGGAAAAATAGATTTGATCGTCTAATGTTCTTAGTGTCTTATCCTGGCCGATTAAAAGATGTCCAAATCGTATTTTTAAGCGTATTTCAATTTTTGAAAATGGAACGAGGGTGGCTCATTAGCATATTTGGAAAAAGCATTTTTTACGAATAATTTGATAGCACACATTTGATATTTCGAGACCAATTGTCTTTATAAATCGCATATTGCAATTTCAAATAAACCAGATTCGAAAATGTCAAAAGTTGACATATGATATGTCATTCTATTCACAGTGTCATTTTCTATCGAATAAAGACTGTAAAAAAAACGGTAAGGTTTAAGTGTGCTTATGTTTTTGAAATATTTTCAATTTTGTGAAATTGCAGTAAAAAATTAAATTTAATTAGTATAAACCATAATCAAATTTACCTTTATTTCAATCGTAGAATCTAAAAATAAAATAATATACAGGGTGTTTCATTTAAAAAAATACAGCTATAATATTTTTTACTTATTTGGGACACTCTGTATCTTGTAAAATTATTTTTAAATTGTAGCTCTAATAGTCCTTCAACGGACCCAAAACTTACAATTTGTAAAAATCTAATCGTTTATCTACAATACTCCGTATCCTATGTGGTGAACAACCCTGTTCTACTATACAGGGTCGACCAATTCGATGAAAATTGGTGTCTGGGAATTTTTTGACATGAGAAATTTGAGTTTGAGACAATATGACTCCTATTTATAAGGGGCGCCACTTACATTTGTTTTAACTGCTTTAAAAATTAATAATTTTTCGTCCGTACCTGTATAAAACTACTGAGTGAAAAAATATTGTAAGTAAGTATTGGTTCTCTCTCTGTTTGAGGACGCTTACGGACGCCGAGTTGCCTTGGTTCGGTATTCGGGCGCCACACTCAAAGTTTAAAGTGTTTGAGTGACCACTAATGCCAGTACGGGTAGCTTTTATACAGTGGAGATACCAGGGAGTCATGAGATGAAAAGAAAATAAAACGCACAATTAACTATAACGTAACACTAGGTTTTTATTTAACAAATTAATTATGTACAAACAATAATCAGAGAAAAGTTTACGTTCTCGAATTGTAATAACAATAGTAAAATAAAATGAAAGCTAGAACCTCGTAAAGCAAAATTTACATTAACAACCGTGTACCTCTAGAGTTCTGATCGATTATTCCCAATACACAACTTTCTGACTGACTCTATCACTCGAGCACAAGACGCGTTCCCGAAGTGACGTTCCTTTATATACAGAGACGCGGTTCCCGTATCGACGTAAGTTAAAAATAACAGAAGCGTCGGCGAGTTGTACGTCGCGCGTCGTTCGGATAAGCGCATTAATAAGTGGATTGTTCCAAATCTTTAAATTTAATCAATGTAAACCAAGATCTAATCTTGTAGAATCGCATTGCAAAGTACAGGGTGAGTCAACGATAGAGTAAAGTCCATTATCTCATTTATTTCAAGGTTTACAAAAAAATGTTTAATATAAAAGTTATAGGGATGGTTAAGATACACATTTTAAAATTATTATAGAGTATACAAGGTGCTTCAAAAAAGTGTGGCGGCTATAACATATGATTTTTTAAATGCAACACCCTCTTTTTATTTTATTTTTAGATTCCGCGTAAAATTCCATAACTTTTTTATATATAATGTTATATACCTAAAATTAATAGTTTTTGTAATATTTCAATTTATTTAAACAAATGTTAAATTGCAGTGTGGTAAAAAATTGTCAGTGGTGCCCTTGTTTCTGAAGTTGCAGTACCAAAATTTGGTAGGAGAGTTTTATAGAGATGATATATATGATATATGTAAAGATATTTTAGTTAAATGATACAGGGTGTTCAAAATATATTTATGAATTTCAACTATTGAAAATTAAAAAATCTCAAATTTTTTAAATGGGACACCCTATATATTATCATTTTTTTCTGGTAGATTTGACAACACTCTTCAACTTTTATTAAGTATGTCATATCCATATTTTTGATAGTTTGCGATTTATTCCCATTTTTTCTATTTTTACCCATATTTTTAATACAATTACCCTATAAAATCATAGTTGCCATGACAAAACAAAACTATTTATTACTTACCTTTAACAAGTAGCTTCATAATTAGTTACAATTGCTGGTATTAGTTAAAATTAATTAACTTTACTCAAATAAACTAAATCGCAGTAGTGAATTTCTTGGTGTATTTCTATATTGTGAAAGATGACACTTGGGATTTTTCGTCGGGGCGAATAGCCACAGATTAGGGTAATACTAGATTACCTAATTGCTGAAGACTACTGATATATGAATTTTCTTCGACATACAGTAAAGTTTTTTCTCGTAGTAATTCTGGTTTATAATTCATTTGGTAAAGCCAATATTACTACTGCCGCGAAACCGTCTCATTACACACTGAAGATGTTTTCTAGATAATATACATACATCTATCCTTATAGTAGTTAGCAAAGTACTATATAATATATAGTACTGAGCCAAAAGATGTGGTTTTCTAAGTTTTTGCCTGTATATCAATCAGATTGACTAATTCATTTCAAGAAAATCTGTAACTATTATCTCTACCATTTATTCTGTTACGGATTCCGCGGGTCCACTATTTAAACTCACGATAAAATACTTAACGAATTTATTTGTCTCACTCTGTACACACAACTTATACTATTTACAACACAATTTATGCAACTACTATTACTCTAACGGTATTTCGCGGTATTATCAAACTTCAGACTTCAGACTATCTTCAGACTGCTCCAACTGTCAAAGCGCGGGCCTTATATACCCCCTGGCGATGGTTTCTGGAATTTTCTAAAGAATTCTGTAATTTTCTTTTACTTTCTGTCGAATTCGCCAGGTTCCTCAATGCACCGTTGCGGTTATGCAACCAGTAATACACCTTGACCTTAACAATACTTATTACAACAAATTAAACTAAAATTCAAATTTTGTTCTTAACTTGCTTAACAGACATAAAATTGTGATAATTATTACTTTTTGTCATGGCAACTATGATGTTATAATTGTATTAAAAATATGGTTAAAAATAGGAAAAAATGGAATAAATCGCAAACTAATAAAAATAGTTATATGACATTCTAAATAAAAGTTGAAGAGTTTGGTAAAATCTATCAGAAAAAATGATAATATATACGGTGTACCATTTAAAAAAATTGAAATTCCTTAATTTTAAGTAGTTGAAATTCCTAAATATATGTTGAACACCCTGTAACATCTAACTAAAATATCTTTACATAGGTCTTTTTCTATATCTTTATAAAATACTCCTACCAAATTTTAGTTGTCCAACTCCAGAATCAATGCCAGCATTGACAATTTTTTAACCCACTGCAATCTAACATTTGTTTAAACAAATTTAAATATAACAAAAACTATTAGTTTTAGGTATATAACATTATCAGAATCTAAAAATAAAATAAAAAATAGGGTATTACGTTTAAAAAAACATATGTTATATTCGCCACACTTTTTTGAAGCACCCTGTATACTGTATAATAATTTTAAAATGTGGATCTTAACCATCTCTATAACTTTTATATTTAATATTTTTTTGTAAACCTCGAAACAAATGAGATAATGGACTTTACTCTATCGTTGACTCACCCTGTACAAAGGAAAGGTAAAAAGATAGGTGTTCAACCGACATCCATTTCAAGGCGATAGACACTGGCGACAGGGAAAAGACGAATGCAATAGGGGAGAAAAGGTGGAAGCTTAACAAAAAAGAAGACCAAAGGCGCCTCACTCTTTAAATAATTGTGTACAGTTGAATATTAGTTGAGGTGACCATAAATTTTCGAAATAAAACACTTTTAGAGCTATATTAGTTTTTCTGATGTTTATACATGACCATTGTCCATTTCCCACGTTTTCGCTGGGTTAGGTTTTTTAAGTTTAAATAAAAAGTGGCATTTTTATATAGATACCAATAATTTAAAATTTTTTTTCAATACATAATTTCTAATATAATTAATACTTTCTACTTTCTTCAGTATGGGAACTGGTACCGACTTTCTTATTTTACGTGGGATACCCTGTATATATAATTTGAATTCAACTCTCAATTCTAAATATACTTCATACAGAGACAAATATAATCATATCTAACTCCTATCAACAGTATCTGTAAAATTAACATTTGAAAAATGATAGTTTCTCCCTTCTCTGACATGCTACAGAATCAAGACGAAATGCCATACGGATATACAAAATGATTTGCATATTCCTATCGTAGATATTAGAATTAGAATTTAGAATAAGTGGGAGGGGGGTTAATCTCTACGCCCTTA